ATCATTTGTTACTTCTCTTTTTCATTTCTGATTTTATTTGGGCCCTTTATTTATTTGGGAACTGATGAGTCTGGTTAAAGGTTCATCAATCTTGTTTATCTTTTCAAAGGACCAGCTCTTGGTTTCATTGATTCTTGTATTTTTTACCCTTTGATCTTTGAGAAGTTTCTTCTGGTGTTTTTGTATGTCAAGCATTCCTAATCTTTGGGTGTCCTCATCCCATAGCTTTAATCCTTTATGCTATACTTTATTCTACTTTCTTTTATATTTCTGGTATCTTTTTCCAAGAGTATGCAAATGTTAGTTAGCATTCATTGTGTATTTTAGGTGGTCTCTTTTTTAAGTCAGGTTGTAATTAACATATAGTAAAATCTGTCCTTTTTATGTGTACAGTTCAAGGAATTTTGTCATGTTGTTGAGCATCCTTATAATCATTACTCTGAACTCTGTATTTGATTAATTGCTTACCCTCATTTCAATGAGCTCTTCTGGAGAATTCTCTTGTTTTTCATTTGGGGCTTCTTTCTTTGTCTCTCTTTTTTTGCTGCATTTTTCTTGTTGTATCTATGTAATATGTAGATCTGCTATGAATCCCAGTGTTGCCTTATGTGGGATCAAGTGATGGACTCTTTCTGATCACCTGGTCACCTGAGCTGGATGCACTAAGAATGCTCCTTGTGCATGCTATGTGGGCCCTTCTTTTGTAATTAAATCTTGATTGCTCTTAGCCAGTTTGTGTGTGGGATAGACCCTCAGGCTATCTGACTGTGAGGCTCAACCGCTGGCACAGCATGCAAGCTTTTGTGCAGGTGCTGATTATCCGGAGTGGAATGTACCTCAGCAGGATTTTGTCCTCCTGAGATCTTCCTATGGATATGATGTTTGTGAAGCTTATTGGATCATACTTTGTTGTTGTCTACAGCTGGCCACTGGTTGTGTTGGTTCTGGGCTTCTTCAGAAGGACTCTGGTGCTGGCCTGTTGCCTATGATTGGCTCTGGGCAAACTGTTGGAGCTATCAGTGATCCGCAGATTGTGGCTCCCTCTTCTGGGCCTGGATGCATATGGAAAGACCACACTGTCCACCAAGGTCTGTTTTGACTAGCACTGGGCCAGGGACAGATCAGCAGAAGCCTCAACACGTCCAGAGATCAGCCTCTGCTTGCAGTTTGTCTGTTAGGCTCACTTAAAGATCCTTTAGTTATACTTTTCACCAGGGTGTAGGCTCAGTATTATCCTTCTGCCCTCTCCTTTTCCTTCCTCATCTTCCCACATTTTATTAATTGCATCACTTGTATATCTCTTTTTTTGTTTTTTGTTGATGTTTTTATTTTATTATTTATTTATTATTAAATTATCATCTGTGTACATATTTTACCATTGTCCCCTCCTCCCATATATACCCTCCCTCTCCAGAGTTTTGTGTCCATTGGTTGTACTTATATGCATGTATACAAGTCCTTTGGTTGATCTCTTATCTCCTCCAGATCTCCCTACCTTCCCGCTGTAATTTGACAGTCTGCTTGTTGCTTTACTGTCTCTATATCTATCTTTTGGTTCATCAGTTTATAATGTTCTTTATGGCAGCATAGTATTTCATTGTGTAGATATACCATAGTTTTTTTATCCAATCATCTGCTGACAGGCACCTAGGCTGTTTCAAAATCCTAGCTATTGTAGATTGTGCTACTATAAACATAGGGGTGTATATATCCTTTCTGATTGGTGTTTCTAGTTTCTTGGGATAAAATCCTAGGAATGGGATTACTGGGTCAAATGGGAGTTCCATTTTCAGTTTTTTGAGAAAACTCCATACTGTTCTCCACAGTAGTTGCACCAGTCTGCATTCCCACCAGCAGTGCACGAGGGTTCCTTTCTCTCTGCAACCTCGCCAACACTTGTCATTTGTTGATTTGTTGGCCGTTCTGACAGATGTGAGATGGTAGTGCATTGTTGTTTTCATTTGCATCTCTCAGATAATTAGTGACTTTGAGCATGTTTTCATGTGCCTCTTGGCCTTCCTTCTGTCTTCTTTTGAAAACATTCTATTTAGGTCCATTGCTTATTTTTTAATTGGATCATTCATTTTCCTTTTATTTAGTTGTATAAGCTGTCTGTAAATGTTAGAGGTTATATGTTCTTCCATACAGTGGGCTTTCTTGTTGTTTTGTTGATGGTTTCTTTTGTTGTAAAAAAAGCTTTTGATTTTGATGTATTCCCATTTGTTTATTTTCTCTTTAGGTTCCATTGCCCTAGGGGCAGTAAGTGAAGACGTTCTTTTGGCACATATCTGAGATTTTCCTGCCTGTGGATGCCTCTAGTATTTTTATGGTTTCCCGTCTTATGTTTAAGTCATGTATCCACTTTGAGTTTATTTTTGTGCATGGTGTAAGTTGGTGATCTAGTTTCATTCTTTTGCATGTATCTGTCCAATTTTCCAAACACTATTTATTGAAGAGACTGTCTTGACTCCATTGTATGTTTGTGCCTCCTTTGTCAAATATTAATTGAGCGTAGTGATTTAGGTTGATATCTGGGTTCTCGATTCTATTCCATTGATTATGTCTATTCTTCTGCCAGTACCAGGCTGTTTTGAGAACAGTGGCTTTGTAATACAGCTTGAAATCTGGTATTGAGATCCCTCCTACTTTACTCTTCTTTCTCAGGATTGCTGTGGCTATTCGGGGTCTTTTGTTGTTCCAAATGAAGTTTTGAAGAGTTTTTTCTAGGTCAGTGAAATATGCCGTTGGGAGTGCATTGAACCTATAGATTGCTTTGGGAAGTATGGACGTTTGGATGATGTTGATTCTACCAATCCATGAACATGGTATGCTCTTCCATCTGTTTACATCTTCCTCTATCTCTTTTTTCAGTGTCGTGTAGTTTTCCGCATATAGGTCCTTTACTTCCTTAGTTAAGTTTATTCCTAGGTATCTTAAGTTTTTTGGTAAATGGAATTGCTTTTTTAGTCTCTGTTTCTGTAAGTTCGCTGTTGGTGTATAGAAATGCCATAGATTTCTTGGCGTTAATTTTGTATCCTGCTACATTGCCAAATTCATTTATTAAGTCAATTAGTTTTTTAATGGAGTCATTTTTTTATGTACAATATCATGTCATCTGCAAATAAGGATAACTTTACTTCTTCTTTTCCAATTTGGATGCCTTTTATTGCCTCTTATTGTCTGATCACAATGGCTAGTACTTCCAGTACTATGTCAAACAGGAGTGGTGAGAGTAGGCATCCCTGTGTTGTTCCTGTTATTAGAGGGAATGGTTTTAGTTTTTGCCCATTGAGTATGATGTTGGCTGTGGGTTTATTATACATAGCTTTTATTATGTTGAGGTATGATCCTTGTACTCCCACATTGTTGAGAGTTTTTTATAGGAAAGGGTGTTAGATTTTATCAAATGCTTTTTCTGCATCAATTGATATGACTATATGATTTTATCTTTCAATTTGTTTATGTGATGCATCATGTTTATTGATTTGCAGATATTGTTCCATCCTTGCATTCCTGGAATAAATCCTACTTGGTCATGGTGTATGATCTTTGTGATGTTCTGCTGGAGCCGATTTGCTAGAATTTTGTTGAGGATTTTGGCATCTATGTTCATAACGGATATTGGCCTGTAATTCTCTTTCATTGAGTTGTCTTTATCTGGTTTTGGTATTAGGGTGATGCTGGCTTCATAGAAGGAGTTTGGAAGTGTTCCTTCCTCTTGAATTTTTTGGAATAGACTGAGGAGGATAGGTTTTAGTTCTTCCTTGAATGATTGGTAAAACTCTCCTTTGAAGCCATCTGGCCCTAGGCTTTTGTTTGCTGGAAGCTTTTTGATCACTGTTTCAATTTCTTCCCAAGTCACTGGTCTATTGAGATTTTTAGATTCTTCCTGATTGAGTTTTGGAAGGTTGTATTTCTCTAGGAATATGTCCATTTCCTCCAGGTTGTTCAGTTTGTTGGAATAGAGTTGTTCGTAGTATTTTGTAACAATGCTTTGTATTTCAGCGGGGACTGTTGTTATTTCACCTATTTCATTTCTGATTTTGTTTGAGTCCTCTCTCTTTGCTTCTTGGTTAGCCTGGCTAGAGGTTCATCAATCTTGTTTATCCTTTCAAAGAACCGGCTCTTGGTTTTGTTGATCTTATGTATTGTTTCTTTGGTCTCAGTGTCATTTATCTTCACTCTTATTTTTATTATTTCCTTCCTTCTGCTTACACTGGGCTTTTCTTGTTGCTCTTTTTCTAACTCTTTGAGTTGTAGAGTTAGATAATTTGTTACCATTTTTTCTTGTTTTTTTGCAATAGGCTTTAGGGATATGAACTTCCCTCTCAAAACTGCTTTTGCTGTGACCCATAGATTTTAGATTGTTGTATTTTCATTGTCAATTTTTCCACTTGTATATCTCTTAAAGTTATCATATTTATATCTTGCTTTGTAATTCTAGGCTTCCGGTTTATTTTGGTCTTTGTCTATAAATAAAGATTCTATGTTTATGGGTAATTCTTTCAATGAATCATTTTGCTTTTCCATTCATCTCTTCTTTTTTGTGAAAGTAATACTCCAGGAGTTTATAGAGGAAACATTCCTAAGAAAAGTACTGCAAATTACTTCTTTTCTCTTTTTAAATAGCTTATCTTTTATATCAGTCATTTTCAAAAAGGCTGCTCTTTTAGGAATTAATTGTGAAGCTTTTTCAGGTTATAGCTATTGGTTTTCATTTCTTCTTTCAGACATTCTGGTATGTCCTTAAGGGCAGGAATAAAGGTAAGAGAGGGCAGAAAAGGCTGTGCATTTTAGAAAAATCTAAAGATGATACTGTTTCAGCCATCGTTTGATAATATAATACTATTCTGGTTAAAGAAAATATATTAATATGATAATGGAAAACTAGTGTTCAACATTTCATTTTTCTTATCATCCTATGCACTATGGGCTGTGTGTGTGTGTGTGTGTGTGTGTGTGTGTGTGTGTGTGTGTTAAAGTTACTTTCTTTGTCTTACTGCATAGAAAATCTGTGCATCTGTCATTTTTGCTACATTGAGAACAAACTGCTCCTTGTTGATAAGGCTGTCTCCTTAGAGTTGCTCTACAAAAAAGCAGAAAACATTTAGTTAGAAAAAGTCTCAAGTTTTATATTATTTAAGAAATATAATTAACAATTTTTATTAGTTTATAAAGGTGATTTAATTAAGAAAAGGACTCAAGGAAGTACTCAATTTGGAGATGCAATCTTTACTCTCCCTCCTTAAAAGTCTCTTTTGAAGTGAATTTTGATATCCTTGAAATAAAATATTGTAATTTTAAAATGATTGAGTTTTAAAACTTATTTTATCTTAGTTTATAGCAAAGTTTTCCTTAAAAAATGGATATTACAGAATGCTTTGTAATTAACTGCTTTCTGTTTGGAACACTTGTATAAGAAGTTGTATTAATTTTCTGACGAGTTTGAAAAATTCTGAAATGTCTATAGTCTCAAAGACCTAGCTGCATGAATTACTTTGAGATCTACATGAAAAATACATAAATATATAAACAAGCAAATAAATTTAAATGGAATTTTACCAAGTTGATTTAACCTACTGTATAGACCAGAGGGGAGAATTGAGAAACTATTACATCAATTCCTCAAAGCTAAGTAAGAAAAAGAGGCCCAAAAGTAGATATGAATTGGGAAGCTTACATAAAAGATCTAGGATAAGAAAGATAGAGGGGATAGGTAAGTAAAAGAGATTTTTCAGTGAGGGGAGGGTCATTGATACTGATCATTAAATAGGATTGCTTATTTACTCAGTGTGATTTAGAAGTTATAAAAACAAACATTAGGCATATAAGTCCCTAGAACTTTTTTTAGACTCATATCTGGCCATACCTTCATTATATTGCCCTTATAGGATATGGGACCAAGTCTTAGATAAGGACATATTTTCTGCCTGGCCTATTGGGTAAACTTACCTATGTCCAACCCAAAGTTCATTAGAAGACCATTATTCAAATTTTATAGAACTATATTGTTACAGAAGGAAAACACAATTCTGGTGGTAATGGAAACTTTCATTGCTTACACTAGACCTATTTCTGCCACCACTTTATTCATGAAGGAAGTAACTCAGCTCAATGGTTTGACAATCTAGCAATTATAACTTGTAAGTAGATTCTTCTCTTCAAAGTTCTCCATGTACAGACTCACATATCTGAACATTGTCCATAGAACAATGGCAAGAGAATATCAAACAGATGTTGATCTTTCCATCTCATTAAGCCAGAAGTTATACCACATACAATAACCACTTTCACTTTCACTCTTTCATGTATCATTGAGAAATACCACAAAGCTGGCTTCTAGTCTGGTACACCTGGACTTCCATAGGTCTCCCAAGAAGATTTAAAAAAATCTATCCCAGTAAGTTAGAGAAAAATACAATGCAATAAAGAGCAAGGAAGATTATCTTTTTTTTTTTTTTAATCAATCTTTATTGTTCATATTATTACAAAGGTTCCTCATTTCTTCCCCCCTCCACCAGGTTCCCACCCCACCCTCCGCCCCCTCCCCATCCCCCATTGTCCTCATCTATACGGGCATAGTTTATGTTCAATCTCTTCCTTCCTCCCTTTCCCCGATAGTAAATCCCTTTTCAGATAGTAAATCAGTTACTTAACATTTTCTCATATCAATAATACCTCCACATGCCCAATGATACACTTCACACAAAAGGCATTTCCAAATAGGTCAACCAGCCTCATCCTGGCCCCACCCAAGGCACTCACAGATCAACACCCCAGCGCTATACTAACTCAACACATCCAGATCTAAGCCTTCATCACTTGATTCAGCAGACCCTCAAGTTCCCACAAAAGTTTCCAGCCATGTCTGAGAGGCAGCCGTGGGGCAGGGGCAGGCGAGGAACGAGCTGTCCTGGCCCTGGCTGCTCCGGGCCTGGCCTCTGTTGCTCTGGTTTGTTCTACAACCAGCTGCTCCGGGTCTGGCCGCTCCCAGCCTGGCAGCTGCTGCTCCGGGTCTGGCCGCTCCCAGCCTGGCAGCTGCTGCTCCGGGCCTGGCCGCTCCCAGCCTGGCAGCTGCTGCTCAAGGCTTGGCCGCACCCGACCCAGCTGCTCCGGGCCTGGCTGCTCCGAGCCTGGCCGCTCCTGGCCTGGATGCTCTGGGGAAGATTATCTTTTAAAAAAATATATATTTTATTGATTTTTTACAGAGAGGAAGGGACAGGGATAGATTGTTAGAAACATCGATGAGAGAGAATCATCGATCAGCTGCCTTCTGTACACCCCCTACTGGGGATGTGCCTGCAACCAAGGTACATGACCTTGACCGGAACTGAACCTGGGACCTTTTAGTCCGCAGGCTAATGTTCTATCCATTGAGCCAAACCTGTTTCGGCAGGAAGATTATCTTTTAGAGATCATATTTGGCTCTCCTTCTGGTACATCTAATGTATTTATCTTTGCCAAAACTCTATGATTACTTTTATACTTATTTCAAGGCCAACAAAAGCACAAATCCTGTTGTTTTCTGCCTCAAATTACCCCTTTATGTGCAAAGCTATGTTACTTTGTATCACTTTCTGTAAAACTCAGTTGGTCACATCTCCTTCACTTCCACTGCTTGGAACTAAAGGACCAGGGACCACAGTTAAACATTGACAAGAGTGATAATATTTTGCTGTACCATCTTCTAACCCTCCCCAAGGTATTATCTTCTTTCTGATCATGCCTCCTTCCACATTTTGACATCTGATTCACAATCTCCCTTCCAATAAAAATTGTGCCATTATCTTAGAATTTGGGACCTGGGTGATTACAATATGCTTATGGATGATTTGCCCAGTAACGTGGTCTGTTACTGTAATTGGCATTTTTTAACCATACTCTGGACCTTGTTATCTCTTAAACCTGCTCCACCTCTGAACTCACAAAATCACAAATTCAGTCATAGCTGGTTTGGCTCTGTAGATAGAGCGTCAGTCTACGGACTGAAGGGTCCTGGGTTCGATTCCAGTCAAGGGCACATGCCAGGGTTGATGGCTCCAGCCCCAGTGGGAGGCATGCAGGAGGCATGCAGGAGGCAGCCAATCAATGATTCTCATCATTGATGTTTCTATCTTTCCCTCTCTTTCTCCTTTCCTCTCTAAAATAAATTTTAAAAAAATCACAAATTACACTCACTGATTGCAACCTCCTGTCCTTCCAGATTGCTCACTTATTTACTTGTACATTCATTTCTCTGGTGTACTGCAGGTCTATTTTCTCCCTATCCACCCTGTTATCCCGTTCTATTTAGCTTAGGTCTCTGCATATTCTCATATTTGCATGTTCAGCTAAAAACCTGAAACTCTCTTAAACTATTTTCCTTTATAGACACCTGATTAAACCCCAGTTTTGGAAAAAATGAAGGCATCTTACTGTGTGAATGCTCCATATCTGCTTCAGGGCAACTGGGTGCTGCTAGAGCAAAATCATTAAATGAGGTAAATACTCTCTCTATGGTTCCCTACTCAGATTCCTCCCTCATTTTCCATAATAACTATTTCAAACCTTCCCAATCTTCTAAACCCCATGTTCAAAGTCTTATTCTCAGGACATGTTCTGCCTTACTTCACAGAGAAACATAAAGTCCTTTAGATTGCAGCTTGAGACGTTTTTTGGTCACTAAATATGACAAATATACCCACCCCGTCTTTTTTTCTTCTTCTAATAAAACTAAAGAACTGCTTCTCCTTCTTTCTAAGGTTAACCTCTTGTATGTCTTTATTCTTTGTAAAGAATTACTTTTATTCTATAGTACATACTATTGTATATTACATACTTCATGTCAATATTTAAACGTGTCTACATCATGCCCACTTTAAAAACAAAAGAAAAAAAAAACAGTCTTTGAGACATTACAACCTGGCATTACTTCCCTCCACATAAACGGCTCTTCCTATGCTTACCAATGAAGTTCTTTTTAAATCTGATATTTTTAAATCTTTATTTTGCTTGACCTCTTAAAATTTAAAATTTTAGACAAATTTTCCTTCTGAAAACAGCCCTTCCCTTATGTCTACTATGATACCTTCTTCTTCTTCTTCTTCTCCTCCTCCTCCTCTTCCTCCTCCTCCTCCTCCTCCTCCTCCTCCTCCTCCTCCTCCTCCTCCTCCTCCTCCTTCTTCTTCTTCTTCTTCTTCTTCTTCTTCTTCTTCTTTAAATTTATTCTGTCTGGCCATTCTTCTTAGGTCATTTTATCTTCCTCTGAGTGCCCTTCAGTGTTTGCATGATCTTCTAGAAGTCCTCTTCTCTTTTCCCTCAGTACTCTCTCACAGACAATCCTATCTACTCCCATTATTTCAATCATCACAGGCACTCCAAATATTTGTCCTATGCCATACCTCAGTTGGTTATATGGATTAGCTTCTAATCCATATAACCAACTGCTTGCTAAGTGAGAATTTTGCAGCCAACTCAAATTCATTATGTCCCAAGTGGAACTCATCATCTTCCCTCCCAAAAGAGTTAGTATTTTTCATTGCAGTTAATAGCAATACCATTTATGACTGAATCATAAATCTGAGAAATTCCTTGACTATTTCCTGTCTCTCATTACTTAATATTATGACTTCCAAATCCTGTTACTAATACCTTCTAAACAACTCTTAAATTCTTCTCCATTATCCTCTGTTGCTATAAAATTAAATAAATAGAATAAAAGTAATAAATGTATACTATTTCTAAGTATATGATAGAAGAAAGCAGAAAAATGCAACCTTAAAGAGGAAAAATGTCTCCATCTTTCACTTTTTATCTGTCTCTCCACAGCTAACTTGTTAACAGCTTCTATTATTCTTCTGAGAAAAAATTTTTTCACAAAAATTCTTAGTATTTATATATTTGTGATAATGCTAGCTGTCAATCTAAATATCTTTTGAAATACTGATATAAAAGTATTTTAGCTTGGCATATTAATGGTAAGCTATATTTCCCACAATGGATTCCCCAACTTCCCTTGCAACTTATATATGGCCATTTGATCAATTTTATTTTTTATTCTTAAATATATTTTTATTGATTTCAGAGAGGTAGGGAGAGGGATAGAGAGAGAGAAACATCCACGATGAGAGAAAATCATTGATTGGCTGCCTCCTGCACGCCCCCTACTGGGGATCAAGCCCACAACTCAGGCATGTGCCCTTAACCAGAATCAAATCTGGGACCCTTCAGTCCCTAGGCCAGTGCTCTATCCACTGAGCCAAACCGGCGAGGACTGATCAATTTTAAATCCAATGAAATGGAAGTGGCAGTGATGTGCACCACTTCCAACCAGGTGCTTTAGGGGATGATCAAGCTGCCAACATGTTTCTTTTCCCATATTATAAGCTTGAGCTAGCTCATATTTGTGAAGAAACAAACTGGGAACAACCTGGGTGTTTAAATGACTTGTAGAACAGAACTACCCATCAAACAGATATTTCTTACTTCTATCCTATTGAATCACTACATTTCCCAATAATGTTAGCTGCTGTAACAAAAAGCCTCAATCTTACCTATTAGTGTTCTGCATCTTGCTTTTTTTCATCTAATAAGTGAGACTTTTCCATATTAGTACAAAGAGAAAGACACCAGTCTTTTCAATGGTTGCATAATAATGTGCAGTAAATTACTTGTTCAGTCACCTATTTCTGGAGTCATTGGTTTTTTAAATTTCAGTTTTATGTTATTACTAGAGTCCCAGTGCACGAAATTCATGCATGGAAGGTGTGTGTCCTTCAGCCCAGCCTGAACCCTCTCCAATCTGGGACCTTTCAAGGGATGTCCAACTGCCTTTTTAGGCCTGATCCAGGTAGGATTGAGACTAAATGGGCAGTTGGACATCCCTCTCACAATCCAGGACTTCTGGCTCCCAACTGCTTGCCTGCTTGCCTTCCTGATTGCCCCTAACTGCTTCTGCCTGCCAACCTGATCACCCCTAACCACTCCCCTTACAGCTTGATTGATGCCTAACTGCTCCCCTGCCAGCCTGATTGCCCTTAACTACCCTCCTCTAAAGGCCTGGTCACCCCTAACTGCCCTCCCTTGCAGGCCTGATTCCTACCAACTGCCCTCTCTTGCTGGCAATCTTGTCACAGCCATCTTGTGTCCACATGGGGACAGCCATCTTGTGTGTTGGAGTGATGGTCAATCTGCATGTTACTCTTTTATTAGGATAGAGGCTTGCTACATGGGTGGGGCCAGTTGGATGGCCCTAAAGGGTGACCCGGATCAAGGTGGGGGTTCCCTTGGGGTATAGGGCAGCCTGGGTGAGGGGCTTGTGGTGGTTTTCAGGCTGACCACGCCCCCCCGGTGACCCAAGTAGAGGTTCTGATATCTAGGGTTTATTTATCTTCTATAATTGAAACTTTATATCCTTGAGTGTAGGCCTGGGCGGGCCAGTGGGCCAGGGTGGCAGAGAAGCTTGGCTTCCTCCATTGCCAGGGAAACCCAAGCCTCCTGCTTGCTGCAGCTCTGTGGCCAGCTCTTGGTTGGGTTAATTTGCATTCTCACTCCTGATAGGCAGGTGGACGTGGCATGTAGGTGTAGCAGAGGTATGATCAATTTGCATATTACTTTTTATAAGATAGGACTAGTATAACATGATATAATAAGTGTCCTCATTTGTATATCTTTATTTTATTTTTTATTTTTCTTTATTTTTTTATTAAGGTATTATATGTGTATATATCTTACCAATTACACCCCCCATAGATGCCCTCCCTTCCCATAGTTTTTTGTCCATTGGTTATGCTTATTTCTTTTTTGTTTCCCTTCCAAGACTAGAGACTAGATATGGCCAGACTCCTTGGGACTGTTCATAGATAGGGCAGAGCCTTGTACCTGGTTGCTTATTGCATAAATAAAGACTTGTGCTTCTGAGAAACCTTCCCTCCCTGCACCAGTGCCCAGTTCACTGTTTGAATTTTTAATACCAATCAGTAGTAAACTTTTAAAAGTTTCTCAATGTAATAAGTTTCATCTCAATGTTTCTGGCCTGTAAAAATGAAAAGAAACCTAAAAAATTTTGTAATGTCAGCAAAGATTTCCATCAGGAAGGGGGTTTCTGAGTCTAATTTTTACATCACCGTTCTGTTTTTTTCTCTATCTAAGGAAAGACGATCAATAACTAGTAATTAATATGTTTTGTTTTTCTTTTTGTTCCAGTCCCAGAAGCATTTTATTTGATAGACATTATTTTTCAGTCCTAGAATGTAATCAATTTGACATATTGATTGGGATATTTTGTCACTTAGTTGTCACTTTAACAGTATTACTTATAGTATCATATTGACTTGTAAGAAAACTTGGGACTTTCCAACAGAGCTTTCCAGAGATGAAGGCTATTTTTTAAGGTAGTTATTTCTAACATAAGAAGATTTTCTGGTACAGGGTAAATAATTAAGAAAATTATAAGAAAAAAAAAATTAAAGTTTCATATGAATAGCCTGACTAAAATACTTTTAAAGTACTCTTCCATCTCTGAGATATTACAATTTCTTATGTGTATGAAATCAGCCCCAATTAATAATGAAACCTTCAAAGAATAGTCAATTAAAAGTGTCCTTCATATTACAAATCTGATGTATTCCTGAAATAATTCATACAGCATACATTTCAACGCATGTAACCTTATTTTCTTTTGTCAACATGTCAAATTGATTACATTTTAGGCTTTTATTATAATACAGGAGTAAACTATTTTGGAAAATAATTCAAATCCCATGCTAATTAGGCTAGATATTATGAAATAATGCTAAAGTTAAAATTTATTTAGGAATCTATACTTGGCTAGTCTATACATAAAAATAATATGCCCAAATTATGACTTATTGATTCATTTTGGAATTCAAAATATCTATACTAATAAGAGAGAAATAAATATGCTAATTAGGGCGGACGTCTTCCAGATGACCATTTCTGGAAAAAGCGGCGGCAGCTGCCTGATGGCCAATTTTGGATGGTGGCTGCTGCTGCCCAGGGCCAGCCCGAGGCTCAGCAAGCCATGGATGGTGGCTGCCACTGCAAGGGCCGGCTTAAAGTTCAGGCAGCTGCATGAAACTGTAAGATATGAGGCTCAGGCAGCCATGGTGGCCTCCAGTGGCAGGAGAAGCTGGGTAATGGGGGCGACACCTTTCCCTAACCAGCCGGGTCACCTCTGGCAGAGGGAGGCCAGACTATGGCTTAGGCTGGGGGCTGAGGCAGAGGCGATTAAGGGTGGTCAGGCCAGCAGGGAGAAAGGTAGGGGTGATCAGACTGGCAGTGTGGCAGTTAGGGGCAATCATGCCACAGGCAGGCAGAGGTGGTTAGGGGCGATCAGGTAGGCAGGCAGAGGGGTTAGGGGCAGTCAGGCAGGCAATATTGTGAGAGGGATTGTGAGAGGGATTGTGAGAGGGATTGTGAGAGGGATATCTGATTGTGACAGGGATATGAGAGGGACGTCTTACTGCCAGCAGTTGGACATTCCCCAAGGGGTCCCAGATAAGAGAGGGTGCAGGCCGGGCTGAAGAACACCCCTCGCCCCCATGCAGGGATTTCATGCACCAGGCCTCTAATTTTAATATAAATTCTTTAACATCTTATATTTATTTTTTATAGTTTATGAGAATACTAGAGGCCCGATGCATAAAATTCATGAAAGAATAAGCCTTCCTTGCCCCAGCTGATGGCATTGTTTCCCTCCAGTCAAAGCAGGCACCGAGGACCTGGGCTTCCCTTGAAGCCCTGGCTTTATCTGGAAGGTCATTCAGAAGGACGTCTGGAAGGATGTCCAGTGTAATTAGCATATTACACTTCTATTATTATAGATATTGGAAGTTAGGCAAACTTAAGTTGAAAAATTCTCAATTTATTTATTTTTATATTCTTTTTTAAATTTGAAGTAACTTACCCTGGTGCATAGTTGCATATGAAAATTGCTGCATGTTTAAAACGTCCAATTCTTGAACATGGAGTAACAGCACAACCAACTTTGTAAGACTTGTCCCAAACAAGCTAAAATGAAATTTTCAAGGAAAACATAAAATTTATTCTGCCATATTATAAACAATAATATATTCAATACCCATAGAACCTTTCATTAAATAACTAAAAAATATGAACTATGAATTAGCATAGTTTTAGGGAAGCATTTGCAACACTATAGGTAGAGAAATACTTTATTAGGTCCTACCAGTAAGTATCCTTAGGATAAAAAGTTTGAGAACCACTGATCCAAAATAATGCTTCAGAGCCCAAGAAAGGCCCACCTGCTGAATCAATTTATTGAACCTGAGTTCTAGGTTATTGGAAGAGAGGAAGAAGTAAAGAAAGGATAAATATTTTGAAAGAATAAAAGTTGTAAATAGGAAGAAGAAAAAGAGAGACACTAAGATTAGAGAAGTGGGAAAAAGCAATGAAAGAGTAGAGAGTAATTGAATGCTTTTGCCATTTTTCTTTCATTGAAGAAATTCCATTATAAAGGATTTGGGCCTTTTATTTAAAAAATGATTAAAGGAGCTTGTTTTTATAAAATGAAAAGCTGGTATTAAATTGGAATAAAAATAGGAGAATAGTTCAAGAAATTCTATGTATGGCTTTAATATTTCTAATACTTTCAAATGATAAAAAAAACCACAAAAAACTACTTGTTTTGTTTTGTTAACTTCTGTGGGAGGGAGGGGAACCATTTTTCTTTTTTTCTTTTTATCCCAAGCCTTTGTGGTTTTAAAAGCATGATTAGTAAAGAAATAGAGTGATGCATAAAAGTAATAGAGAATGGAATGACTGCAACAGTTAAATTAGAGTTAGTCATGTTAAATGCAGGAAACCGAAATGACTAAGATACTATAATTAAGAAGTACAAAATATAGAGGAGTAAATCAGGGAGTAGAATTTGTTAGTTTACTGAAAGTTTGAAGTTATATTAAGACTAGCTTTGATACAAATAAGATAATGAAGAACCATTATAACTTTCTAGGAGAAGAATAAAAAGATCAAACATTTTTTAAAAGATTCATTTGATTAATGAGAAAGACATAAGTTCAATATGAAAAAAATTCCAAGATTTTAAGTTTTATATAAAACATGACATCAGTTCATTGGTAGAAAATTAATTATTTTTATTTTATTTATTTTTGTTAATCCTCACCTGAGGATATTTTTCCATTGATTTTTCAGAGAGAGAGAGAGAGTAGACAGGAGGGGAAGAGACAGGGAGAAAGATAAATGTGAAAGAGACACATCAATTGGTTGCCTCTCATACATGCCCCTACTGGGATCAGGGATAAATTATGTGCCCTTGCTTGGAATCAAACTCTCAACCCTTCAGTCCTCAAATCAAGATTCTAACCACTGAGAAAAACTAGTTAGGGGGGAAAAATCGTATTTTAAATAAGCTTGGAAGTTCATTTAATAAATTATCGATCCCGGGCACAAATATTTATTGAAGACCTAAATAATGTCATGTTGTGTTGAGAAAAAAAGATGAGAAGATCCCTGCCCTTCGTGTGGTATCACATATAAATGATTATTAAACAATGTGATATATGAAATAATAAATATATATATAGGAAATAAGTAGTTCAGTATTTTGGGGGTATAAAGTGTAAGGCAGATTATGAGACATGAGGTAGGAAAAATAATACTAATTAATTTGCATTTAAAAAGTTTTAACCAATTAGTTATATAGTAGTTTATATACTGATCTGTGCAAAAAATATCATCTTTCACTTATGTTTATAGTCAATAATTTATAAATAGTCTTCATTTTCTGGTTTCTTCCTTTTCCCGTATACATTATTTTTAGAAAAGTACCTTTCAAATTTGGGTATGGACGTTAGATTTTCTATATTTAAAATAATGTTTTAATTGTATGGTTCACATAATAGAGATAATTACAGACATTTTGAAAATCTAGGACTGATAAGAACTTTGATTCTATTAGAATTAACAATTGACCATTTGTATTTATTTATAAAATTGAAACAATCAATAAAAACTTGATAGTAATGCAATTAAGGAATCTATTGAATTAATAATATAAAAATTAGATACCTGCAAATATTTAGAACAGTCACCACGGCAAGTGCCATTTTCAAAATAGTACTTGTCCTTCTCTGCAAACCAACTTCTGATAGCAATACTTGTAGTAAATTCATTTTCAAGGCCGACCCACATATTTTCACCAATACCTTTAAATATAGGATGGGCCATCTTCATTTCTTCTAAGTAAGTATTACGCTCAAACACACATTTTTTCCCCCATGCTCTAGCAGTCCGGGACAAAGCTACATCCCAAGTCTGAAAAAAAGTGCAAAAAGCAAAGAAATCAAAATAATGATGAGTTTTGTGTGTGTGTGCGCTCTAATTTATATTCCTTGAGTTCTCATAGTAAGATTTAAGGAAAACAATGCTAACTTTATGCTTATAGGTTTTATTAGTTAAATTTCAATAGGGAACTTTTTTTTTAAGATAATCATAAATGAAACAACTATTTTCTGGTACAAAGGACTATGTACAGTATATATCAGTAATTAAAAAGTCAGATTGTTAGATGATGCAAAGGATTGTGATACTCTTACATAGAGTGTGTTCAGAACTGTATAATACTCATATGTAGTCTCTTCAGAACATATATTTTCATAATATATATTTTTAATCTCATAACTTTTATTCATAATGATACAATAATATAAAATATTCATTTAAGAACTATTGATTGAGCATTAATTTTATGCAAAATATTATGTTTTGAAGAAATAAAGTCTTATGATATTTCCAGAAATGTGAGAAAATTTCATAAGATGCTGCTACCATATTTCTAGATACTCTTATCTAGAACAGTGTTTTTCAACCTTTTTTGGGCAAAGGCACACTTGTTTCATGAAAAAAATCACGAGGCACACCACCATTAGAAAATGTTAAAAAATTTAACTCTGTGCCTATATTGACTATAAAGTAATTCTCTTGAATAGGAATCAAATAAACACAAAGAAAGTATTTTATAATTACTTTATTATGAAATATTAAGTAAACAAAATAGTGAAAAATTATAAAATTCTTGTCTTGTCTGCACCTACGGCACACCAGGCAACATCTCGCAGCACACTAGTGTGCTGCGGAACAGCGGTTGAAAAACGCTGATCTGGAAATATAAAAAAATGTGTACTTAGAGCCTCATTAAGTTCATTGTTAAGGATAAGAACAAACACAATATTCAAAGAAAAATCAACAAATAGTTGTCAAACCAAAATGCTAAGTACATATGTTTCAGTGTATCTGAAAGTAAGCATTTCTGAAAACTAAGTTTTTTGTAGGGTTTTCTCAGTTAATTTCATAGATTATACATATATATAATATAAAATATATCACAAAAAATAAACAAATCAGACTTTTAGATTACTCCCCAACTACAATACTTTTCTCACCAAAGCTCATTATTGTTTAAAAAATTGTATATATTTCAATTTGTATACATTTCTCTATACACACACACACACACACACACACACACACGATACAAGTGGGTATTTTAAATGCATATTCTGTGATTTTTCCTCCTTGCATTATTGTAATAATTTCATATATAATATTATTGGCCTGTTATTTGCAGTTTTCACTTAGAGAAATTGTTCCATATTAATACAACTAGATCTAACTAACTTTTGCAACCTCTCCATAGTATTCTATAGTATGAATAGCACATAATAAATGTTACCATTCCACTATTAATAATCCTTTAGATTGTTTCTCATTTGTAAACAATGTTCCATGGGTCATCTTTTTACTGCCTTATTTTGTATATTGTTCATATATCACATGCTTACTATATATCAGGCATTATTGTTTGTTTTTAAAAATATATTTTTATTGATTTCAGAAAGGAAGAGAAAGGGAGAGAGAAAAACATCAATGATGAGAGAGAATCATTGATTGGCTGCCTCCTGCACACCCCCTACTGGGGATTTAGTTCACCACCTGGACATGTGCCCTTGACCAGAATTGAACCTGGGACCCTTCAGTCCACAGGCAGACGCTCTATTCACTGAGCCCAATGAGCTAGAGCATCACTGTTGTTTTTATACGTTATTTAACTTAGTAAAGGTAAAAATTATGAACAACAAAAAGACATCAAATACATACCTACTAACAAGTAAATCTAAAAATCAAGTGAATGAAAAATCTGAAGAACAGAATGGACTGGTGAATATAATAGAATTAGAGACATAGAAAGGGAGTGGACTGACAATTCTCAGGGGGAAGGCGGTCTGAGGGGTGCAGGAAGAGATTGGACAAAAATCTTACACCTATGGATGAAGACAGTGGCAGGGGTAAGGGTATGAGGTGGGGTGGGGAATCAGGTGGAAGAGAGCTATGGGGGGGGAAAAAAGAGGAACACCTGTAATAATCTGAACAATAACTATTTATTATATATATATTTTTTAATTGAACAAAGGACTTGAATGGACATTTTTCCAAAGAAGACATACAAATGTCTAATAAGTTCAACATAACTATACATTAGGGAAATGCAAATAAAAACATAATGATGCCTATTAAAATGGATATTTATACTAATAAAAGGGTAATATGTTAATCAAACCAGACATCCTTCTGGACGTCCTTCAGGACAAAGACACCATGGTGGGGGCCGAGGCAGAGCTGGTTTGGGGTGACCAGGTCAACAGGGAAGGGCAGTTAGGGGCATCCAGGCAGTAATACAGAGTGGTTAGGGGCAATCAGGCAGGTAGGCATGTGAGCAATTAGGAGCCAGTGGTCCCAGATTACAAGAGGGATGTCTGATGGCCGGTTTAGGCCCTATCCCTGCGGACATCCCCACTGGGCCTCTAGTACATATATAAAACCCAGAAACTAACAAATGTTGGCAAGAATGTGGAGCAATTACAAACCTCGTGTATTGTTGGTGGGAATGTGAAATGGTGCAGCCACTATGGGAAACAGAATGGCAGTTCTTCAAAAAAATTAAACACAGAGCCCTGGTTGGTGTGGCTCATTTGGTTAAGTGTCATTTTGTGCACTGAGACGTGGCCAGTTTAATTCCTAGTTGGGACACATACTTAGGTTTGGGGCTCAATCCCCAATAGGGGTGTTTTTGAGGCAGCTAATGGATGTTTCTCTCTCCCTCTCCCTTTATCTCTCTCCAAAATCAATAAGAACATATTTTAAAAAGATACAGAATTTCCATATGTTCCAGCAATCCCAGTTCTTGGTACTGTCAATAGAGGTGAAAGCAGGGAATTGAACACATATTTGTACACACATCCATTTTCATAGCATTATTGACAATAGCCAATGGTGATAGCAACTGAAATGTACATTGATAGATGAATGGATACAAAAGCTGTGGTATAAATATACAAAGTAAATTATTTAGCTTTAAAAAGATAGAAATTCCGACACGTGCTACAACATAAATGAACTGTGAAAATATGCTAAACGAAATAAGCCAATCACAATGAGAAATACTGTATAATTTCTTTGCATAGTCAAATTCATAGAGACAGAAAGCAGAACGGCTATAGCCAGAAACTGAAGAAAGTAGGAAATGGCTTAATGGGTACAGAGTTTCAATTGGGGAAGATGAATGCTGGTGATGTTTGCACAACAATGTGAATGAACTTAATGCCACAGAACTGTACAATAGAAGATGGTTAAATTGTTAAATTTTATGTTATGAGTATTTTACAACAATAAAAGAACTAAATATTTTAGTTCAATGACAAGGTAGAAGACAAATACTAGATGACAATAACATCATGGACACAAGCAAGGACTTAGAATTCGTGTTGATACCAACAGCAATCAAGGTTTAACTGTAAGATTGTGCAAACAGCCCACAAAGGGGTGAACCAAAAGTGTCCATCTCAGGTGACTAGAGAGCTGAGCCAATGGGCCCTATGGGACACCAACCACACAAGGCCACTCTATCAACTCAATGAGACTTAGCAGCTACCCAGTACATAGAAACAAAAACAGGGAAGCAGCCAAAATGCAGACAAAACAAAAACAAAAACATGTCACAAATGAAAGAAATGGAAGAAAGCAAATACTGGATATAGAGTTCAAAATCACAGTTATAAGGATACTCAAGAATCTTCTAGAAACTTCCAAGAAATTTAGTGAGACCCTCAAAGATATGAAAAAGGACCAATGAGAAATTAAGCATACACTGACTGAAATAAATAATAATATACAGAGATCCAACAGCAGACTAGAGGATCCCAAGAATCAAGTCAAATATTTGAAATATTAAGAAATAAAAAACACCCAACTGGAAGAGCAAAAAGAAAAGAGAATCCAAAAATATGAAGAGAGTATAAGGACTCTTGGGACAACTTCAAGTGTACCAACATCTGAATTATGTGCATGCTAGAAGAAGACAGAGAGCAAGATATTGAAGGCCTATTGAAAGAAATAATGACAAAAAACTTTCTCTACCTGGTGAAAGAAATAGATTTACAAGTTTAAGAAGTGCACAGAACCCCAAACAAAAGAAATCCAAAGAGGACCACACCAAGACACATCATAATAAAAATGCCAAGGGCAAAAGACAAAGAGAGAATATTAAAAGCAGCAAGAGAAAACCAGTTAGTTACCTACAAGGGAGTACCCATATGACTGTCAGCTGATTTCTCAAAGAAACTATGCAGGCCAGAAGAGAGTGGCAAGAAATATTCAAAGTGATATATAGCAAGAACCTACAACCAAAAATTACTCTACCCAGCAAAAGTATCAATTAGAATTGAAGGTCAGATAAAGAGCTTCACAGACAAGAAAAAGCTAAAGAGGTTCATCACCACCAAACCAGTATTATATGAAATGCTGAAGGGTATTCTTTAAGAAGATGAAGAAGAAGAAAAGGGTAAAGATAAAAAATATGAACAACAAAGTGACAACAAATACATATTTATTAACAAGTGAATCTAAAAATCAAATGAATAAAAAATCTGATGAGCAGAATAAACTGATGAATATAATACAATCAGGGGCATAGAAAGGGAATGGACTGACAATTTTCTCGGGGGAGGAGAATTGGAGGGTGTGGGAAGAGATTGGACAAAAATCTTACACTTATGGATAAAAACAATAGGGGGGGGGTAAGGACATGGGGTGGGATGGGAACAGGGTGGAGGGGAGCTTTGGGGTAAAAAAGAGGAACACCTATAATAATCTGAACAATTAATATTTATTAAAATAATAATAATAATAAATGTGATTTTCAAACCTCTGAAGAAAAAATTCTAAGGAGACCATATTATTACAATAAACTCTTCTATTTA